TTCTAGGTCTCCTATTTGGATGCAGGGTCCCAAGGACTTGGGCCATCTTCTACTGCTTTTCCAGGCCATAGCAGAGAGCTAAATCGGAAGTGGAGCAGCCGGGACTAAAACTGGCACCCGTATGGGATGCCGGCACTGCAGGCCTGGGCTTTAACCTACTACGCCACAGCACCGGCCCCACAAAAAAATTAAAAAAAAAAAAATATTTAAAAGAACACTAATACTCCTCAAAGTTTTCCAAAAAACTGAAGAAAAGGGAACACTAACATATTATTCTGAGATCACCATTCCTCTGAAAACAAACCAATGCAAAGATATGAAACCAGAAACTACAGACTAATATCCTATAAATATTAGAGAAAAGATTCTTATCAGAGCATCTTTTCAAGTTCCCGGCTGCTCCACTTCCAATCGAGCGCCCAGCTGACGTGCATGGGAAAGCCCCCAATGTGGAAAGCGTGTACTCCGCTCACTGCACCCACAGGACGCAAGGGCAGCACACTCCTGCAGGAAGACCAACAAGCCTGGTATGGATCCTTTCTTCAGAACCGGCTCGTCTCCTGGTGAAGCCCACACATGAGCCCAGCTCTGGGGAGCCGGGCTGGACTGAGCTGCTCTTCAAGGCACACTCCCAGCCCTGACCAAACGCCTGTGCTCTCTGGATCACAGGCTGCTCTGGGTTCTCAGTGATGGAGGACACGGGGCCATGACACTGGACGCTGGATAGAGGTTAGAATGAACCTCAAGTTTTAGAATCATTACTAGGTGTGGCCGGTGCTGTGGCTTAGAAGGCTAAGTAAGCATCCGCCTGCAGTGGATAGGGCATCCCATATGGACGCCAGTCCGAATCCTGGCTGCTCCACTTCAATCCAGTCCCCCGCTAATAAACCTGGAAACGCAGCAGAAGATGGCCCAAGTGCTTGTGTCCCTGCCCCATGTGGGAGACCTGGGAGAAGCTCTTGGCTCCTGGCTTCAGCCTGGCCCAGCCCAGCTCTTGAGGCTGCTTGGGGAGTGAATCAGCGGATGAAAGATCTCTCTCTCTCTCTTCTTTGCTATCTCTGCCTTTCAGATAAATAAAAACAAATCCTTAAAAAAAAATCGGATCATTATTGAGGTAGGGCCCAAACCTGACCGGGAATGAGAAGCTGCAGTGGGAACTAGAGACGGAGTTTGCAAAACGCCGCGGGGAACCAGGGTTGAGCACCACTCAGAGCGGCTCCCCGGCTCTCTGCTCCTTCCTCTCTTCCGCCCCGCGAGCTCCTCGCCGCCCTCCACAACGTGTACCCCGACCCTTCCTCAGCCCCGCTCCGGGTCCTACACCTCACGCACTCAGGAGGAGTAAGACGCCCGCGTCCCGGCCGCGGGAGGACTCGGCCTGGGGGCCCCAGGACCCTCCTGCCCGGGGCGGGAGACGGGGACTGGCGGGTCTCCGCCTCAGAGCGACTTCATCCGCAGAAGAGACCCCCGGCTCCCACTGCTTCCAATTCGCTCGGGGAGGGAGCAGCGCGGGAATTTTAAGGTCTGAAAAGACTTCCGGCCCCGGGAAGGGAAGCGCTGAGGAAGAAGGGAGCGAGGGGGCTAATCCGATACGGAGAAACTCACCAGCAGCTGAGGGACCTGCGCCGCCGGCGCGATCCGTTCCCGCGGCCGAGGCAAGCGCGCCAGTCGGGAGGCGAGGGCGTGGGCGGGGCCGGGGCGGGGCGTGAGGAGCGCTGTCGCCCGAGCTGGGAGTGCATGGGCGGGGCATAAAGGGGCGGGGCGAGCGTGTGAGAGCCCGGGTCCGGGCTGGGATCGCTGGGGCGGGCCGTGAGGAGCGCTATCGCCTGAGCCGGGAGTGTGTGGGCGGGGTATAAAGGGGCGGGGGCGGGGCGTGTGAGAGCCCGGGTCCGGGCTGGGATCGCTGGGTAGGGCGTGGCCGGGGGCGGGGCGCTATGGGCAACGGGCGGAGCAGGGACTTAAGATGGTCGATGTCAGGGGTCGGGGTCGTTTCTGCCTCTCCCTATTGGTTCCTTTTTCCTAACTTTGTACTATCTTAAGCCAACTTTGCGTCCTATAGAGCAGTGTTTCCTATTTTGCTAGTATTTTACAGTTTTGCGGTAAAAGCGATGTTTGGAGGCATTTATAATGGAAACAAAAATGTTTTCCTTTGAACAGTTTGAAAACCAGTTAAGGCGAAACTTTTGCCAGTGTGCAGGCAACCGCGGCTGAGGCAGCAAGTGGGCTCTGCCCTCTGGGAGGGGGTTGAGCTGAGTCCCTGACTGGATGCAGGAAAGTTTTTGCAGTTTAAGCAATTTAACTTTTTTTTAATTTTTTTGAGAGTGGACAGTGAGAGACAGAGAAAGGTCTTCCTTTTTCATTGGTTCACCTCCCAAATCGCCACTACGGCCGGCGCCCCGCGGTGATCTGAAGCCAGGAGCCAGGTGCTTCTCCTGGTCTCCCATGGGGTGCAGGGCCCAAGGACCTCCACTGCCTTCCCCGGGCCACAGCAGAGAGCTGGCCTGGAAGAGGAGCAGCCGGAACAGAATCCGGCGCCCCAACCGGGACTAGCCTTGAGTCGCCTGTGAATGGAGATGCAAACTAGAAAGTGAAAAGTGAAACTATTCCTGTTGGAATGCATTTTCATGCTGACACCCAAAAACGGAGCAGAAAAATCTTATTTCTCCTATCCATTTACTGGAGAGGGAGTCAACCCTGTGATCACTGCCAGAGATCATGGGGTCCAGACCTGGGGACTAAGCCTTAACATGTTAAGTCACTCACTTTAAACACAGTTTTTTGGTATGTGTGTTTTAGAAAAAAATGACCTTGAAAGGCAAAGAAAGAGAGGAAAACGGAGAGGGCTTCTATCTGCTGGTTCACTCCCCAAATGCTCACAAGAGCCAGGGCTGGGCTAGGCCAAATACAGGAGCCAGGAACTCCATCTGTGTGCAGGGGCCCAGGCACTCAGGCCATCTTCTGCTGTCTCATGTAGAAGGGTTTCTACATGGACAGGACAATGAGCAAAACAAGATTTGTTTAATTCAGAAGCCTCCTGCCGCAGCAGTCAGGAGGGAGGGCCTCAAATGGAGGAAAACCTGAGAAACTTGGCAAAGTATGGTCTTTTAAGCAGAGTTTGGGGGAGTCTGACACTTCTCGGAGATTACTTAGGTGGTTGTGATCAGAAAGTTGGTAGAGCTGTAGTCTATAAGGGCATTTCAGACAGAAATGAGGACTAAGGTACTGAATTAAAAACCATCTTTGTTAGAAACTGGCAAGGAATTTGGCTGAAATTGTGTCCATCCCCTAGGGCTTTATGGAAGACTGAATTTAGGAGCAAGGAACTAGGATATCTGTTGAAAAAATTTTCTAAGCAAAATATTGAAGAAACTCTGTTGCTATAAATGTAAAGTAGTCTTAGGTATGATAAAAGTGAAAAGTGCTGATATAAAGAATGTGATTCACTCATAGTAATGAAATAAGATTAACTTTTACTAACTAAAGCATGAGATCTATCTATCTATCTATATTTAAAATTTATTTATTTGAAAGGTAGAGTTACACAGAAAGATCTTCTCTTTGCTGGTTTAGTCCCCAAATGGCCACCAACAGCCTGGCTGAGGACCCTGGAAATCTATCTATTCAGGTCTCCCATGTGGATGGCAAGGGTCCAAGGGTCCTGCTTTTCCCAGGTACATTTGCAGAAATGGGGTGGCCAGGACTTGAACGAGTGCTCTTACAGGATGCCAGCACTGGAGTAACAGCTAAATCTGCTGTGCCACAACACCAGCCCCAAGATATATAATTTTAAAAAACATAAGCCCCATGATGCATACTGAATAAAGCTGCAGAAATTTATAATGTCAGTAGCTAAAAACAAATCTTACTCAATAACTGCTATTCTGGTTCTTTTGATTCAATTATCCCCCTGATAATGGCTGTCCCTTTAATTTCCAAAGTAAAATTGGTTTTGCATCAGTCTTGATATACAACTATCACCATTCAATGGAGGTGGTCACCATGTCCCCTGCAAATTTATATCACAGAAACAGTCCCAAACAAGACTGCTCTCCTCCCATAAAAGCCATGTCCTAGAGATGGGTGTTGTGGCACGGTAGGTAGTTCACTCCTTAGGACATCCACATCCCATATAAGAGTCCCAGGTTTAAGTCTCAGCTACTCCAGGCTTCCAGTCCAGCTTCCTGCTAATGCATCCTGGGAAACAGCAGCAGATGATGGCTTAAGTACATGGGGGCCCTTTCTACCAATGTGGGACACCCAGATGGGAGTTCTTGCCTCCTGGCTTCAGCCTGGCCCAGCTCTGGCTGTTGTAGGCACTTGGGTAGTAAACCTGTTAATGGAAGATCTCTCTCTGCTACTCTTTCAAGTGCACGAAAATAAATTTTTTAAAAGATTTTAAAGTCAGAGTTACAAAGAGGCAGAGATAGAGAAAGTAATTCTTCCATCCTCTGGCTCACTCCTCAAATGGCTGCAATGGCCAGACCTGGGCTGATCCGAAGTCTGGAGATTCTTCTGGTCTCCCATGCAGGTGCAGGGGCCCAAGGACTTGGGCCATCTTCTACTGCCTTCTCAGGCTATAGCAGAGAGCTAGATAGGAAGAGGAGGCATCCATATGGGATACTGCACTGCAGGCCACAGCTCCGGCCCCCTGAAAATAAAGTATTTTTCTAAAAGGCATATGTCCTAAGACTTTGGCCTGTTCTCTTTTTTATGTTGTCACAGCTTTTCTTTCCTTTAGTGGGAGAGGGAGAGAGGAAAGACAGAAAGGGAAGGGGAGGAGGGAAAGGCAGGAACTCTCATTTACTGCTTCACTCACAAAATGCCCATAGCAACCAGGCAGGGCTGGGCCGACACTAGAAACTCAAGGTCTCTGTGTGGCTGAAAGAAATCTGATTATTTAGGACACCACTGCTGCACCCCAGGCTCTACATTAGCAGGAAGCTAGAGTCAGGAGCCAGAGGCAGCTTTTCAACCCAAGCACTGCAATATGGGATGCAGGTGTCTTTATTGTTTTAAAGATTTATTTATTTGAGAGGCAGAACTACAGACAAGGAGAGACAGAGAGAGGTCTAACATCCTCTAGTAAACTCCCCAAACAGACCCGATGGCTGGACCTACACCAATCCGAAGCCAGGAGGCAGGAGCTTCCTCCAGGTCTCCCACATGTGTGCAGGGACTCAAACACTTGGGCCATCTTCCACTGCCCCCCAAGGCCACTTACACTGGTGTCCATATAGGATATCAGCGCTGCAGGCAGAGGCTTAACCTACTTCCCCACAGTGCTGGCTCCAGGGGATGCCTACCTCAGCCTTTCTGATAACGAATGTCTTCTCAAGACAAAAGCAAGATGAGGCAATAAGCATAATTACTTATATCATGGTTCTACATTATTCGTTGCCCTTCCTTCATAATTCAGATAATATTTTAAAACACGGAGTACTTCAAGAAACTTAGGTATAAATGCTTACCTAATTAAGTATGCCCTTTCATCCTATTTATTCCTTTGTAGAGCTCCTCATAAAATGTTCATAAAAAAGGTGTATTAGATTTCAACAAAGTCATAAATAGTAGTCTTTTAAAGAAATCTCTAATAATTGAATGAAATATTTTATAACCTGAATACAGCTGGCCATTTAAAAATGTCCTGGTGCCTTTTATACCTGTCAAATAACTTATCTTGACTGGCATATTTTTGAAGTATGTAATAGAAATGGTTAATCTTGCAGAAATGGACTGTTATACCTCATAAAACCCTGATGTTCTATAGTTCTGGTGGTTGGGCAACAGACTCAGTATGTACATTACATTACAGTGATTTCATTAATGATGTGTATTTCACTGTCTAGAGAGTTGGGGAACCTGGAAAAGCCTCTGCCACACACAACTGTATGATTTCTCTTTGGTGTGGATTCTCTGACGTTGATTAATGTTTGAACTCATTATGAAGGGTTTGCTGCATTCATTGTACTTGTAAGGAGTCTCTCTATTATGGATTTTATGATGCTTTGCTAGGGCTGACTTGTAACTGAAGACTTTGTCACAATGATTACATTTGTAGGGTTTTTCTCCACTGTGAATTTTCCAATGTCTTACAAGAGTTGAATTGCAACTAAAAACCTTATCACATTCATTACATTTATAAGGTTTCTCTCCAGTATGGATTCTGTGATGCTTTGAGAGAGATGACTTGTGACTGAAGACCTTGCCACAGTCATTACATCTGTAAGGTTTCTCTCCAGTGTGAATTCTTTGATGTGTTGCAAGGTGTGAGTTGCGACTGAAAGCCTTGTCACATTCATTGCATTTGTAAGGTTTCTCTCCAGTATGAATTATGTGATGTTTTGCAAGGGATGACTTGTGATTGAAGACCTTTCCACATTCATTACATTTGTAAGGTTTTTCTCCAGTGTGAATTCTTTGATGTGTTGCGAGGTTTGAATTTTGAGCAAAGACCTTACCACATTCATTACATTTGTAAGGTTTTTCTCCACTATGGGTGACCAGATGGTTATTGAGGACGGAGCGTACACTAAAGACTTTGCCACACTCATTACACTTGTAAGGTTTCTCTCCCGTATGAATTCTCCAGTGATCTGCAAGGTGTGAGTTGCGACTGAAGACCTTGCCACACTCATTACATTTGTAAGGTTTCTCTCCAGTATGAATTCTTTGATGACTTTCAAGGTATGAAATTTGACTGAAGACCTTGCCACACTCATTACATTTGTAAACTTTTTCTCTAGGATGGATTACCTGATGTCTACTAAGGCTCAGGCGTGCTCTAAATGACTTGCCACATTCATCACATTTGTAAGTTTTCTCTCCAGTGTGGATTACCTGATGGGTAAACAGGTTTGAACGATGCTGAAAGGCTTTACCACACTCATTACATTTGTAAGGTTTTTCTCTAGTGTGTGCTTTCTGCTGTTGCGTGAATAGTGAAGAACAGATGGAGTCAGTCTCACATTTACTAGAAATACAAGTTTTAGCACTAGAAGGAACCCTATACGGTGCTGAAAGTGAAGAACCATTGTTAACAGATTTCTCAACTTGATTATAATCATAAATATTCCATTTGGTTTGAAATAACTGCAATTCAGGCAGATGTGAATGAAAGCTTATTTCGAGCTGATTTTTAATAGAGTTGCTTCCTGCGATCTCTTTATCATGCTGATATTTTCTATCATTAATATATTTTGTTGTTGTCATAGGCACTCCGTTGTAATTTTTTTCATCTCTCCCTTGGGACTCAAATGCATGGCTATGTTTCTGGATTTCTCTGAAGCACAAATCTTTGATGTCATGATGTTCACGTCTTTCCAATATCACCGAGTGAAATACTCCTGTGATACTTTCCTCATTTGAGGGTAATTCTTTGATCACATACTTAGAAGAGAGATCTGGAAAACATAAAGGGCCATGGGTTTCTGATTAATTATACATGGTAAATAAATAATTCCTATTAAAATATATATTACCCAAAAAGTAATGCTTATACTGAAAAGTTATAAAACTTCCCAACCATGATCTTCAGCTTTAACAAATTCAAATTAATTCCAGGAAAGTCTTGTTTCCAATATCCTATGACCAAAATACTCACATTGCACAAAGCTATGTTAGCCTCATAAGTGTTTTTCCAGTGTGACCCAAATTACACATCAAAAGGCAGACAATATTTTACTCTCATAATTGAGACATACAGTTACATTTGTTGTACACAAATAAATGTTAAAGTACTGCATAATACACTATAATAGTTAATAATCCACAGCAAAATCATATAACATTAACAAATGGTAATTCTGAGTTGTAAAACAATAATTATACTGAGAAAAACAGGAAAAATTAAAGAATGTTGAAATATACATTTTTCTGGAAATCTACTATAAAACTATTCATACCCACATACAGTGACCTTAATACATGATACATCTCAGAGATACTGCATATTATATATTGAAAAACAATGCTTCATAAATCATAAAAATTAATTAGTAAAACATCGGAGCAACCCATGATCAAATCAGGAAGCAAATAATTAGTAACCATATGACACAAAGTTAAAGTCCATGGAATTCTAAAGAATTCGCTCAAGAAAAAAAGCTATAATTGCTATTTCAGAGGTAGAATATAATATGAAAACCTGACTATACAGGGGTACTTCAAAAAGTTCATGAAGACTGGAAATAAAAGTTTTCTGTGTAAATTTTTTAAATTAATGCACAATATTTTCATATTACATATTTTCCATGAACGAAGTACTCTTATATGTTAGAACAATTCCCTTTACTCTTTAATAATCTATTTCATTGGCCACTACCTACATACAGAGAGACAGAGATCTCCAATCTGATAGTTCAGTCCCCAAATGCCTGGGTCTTTCACATGGGTGGCATGGACTCAACTACTTGAGCCATCACCTGCTGCTTCCCACTGTGTGCTTTAGCAAGAATTTGGGGCCGGCGTCACAGCTCATTAGACTAATCCTCTGCCTGTGGCACTGGCACCCTGGTTTCTAGTCCTGGTCGGGGCGCCTGATTCTGTCCCGGTTGCTCCTCTTCCAGTCCAGCTCTCTGCTGTGGCCCGGGAAGGCAGTGGAGGATGGCCCAAGTAGTTGGGCCCTGCACTTGCCTGGGAGACCAGAAGAAGCACCTGGCTCCTGGCTTCGGATCAGCATGGTGGGCCAGCTGCAGCGCGCTGGCCGCAGCGGCCATTAGGGGATAAACCAACGGAAAAGGAAGACCTTCCTCTCTGTCTCTCTCTCTCTCACTGTCCACTCTGTCAAAAAAAAAAAAAAAAGAATTTGGAAGGGAAGGAGAGCAGCTAGATTTGATCCAGGCACTGTGATTTGGGATGTGAGCATCCCAAGCAATGGCTTGTCCTGCTGTGCCATAAACTGCACCTTAGATATGTTTTTTTTTTTTAAGATTTATTTATTTATTTGAAAGGCAGAGTTATATATAGAGAGGAGGAGACAGAGAAAATGAGAGAGATATCATCTATCTGCTGGTTCACGCCCTAAAGGGCTGCAATGGCCAGGTCAAAGTCAGGGGCCAGGAACTCCAAGTACTTGGGCCATCTTCTACTGCTTTCCCAGGCACATTGGCAGGGAGCTGGATCAGAAGAGGAGCAGCTGGGACTTGAACCAGTGCTCATATGGGATGTCAGCATCACAGGCAGTGGCTTAGCCCACTGTGACACAACTCTTGCCCTAACAACTTGTTCTTTTTTATTTTTATTTTTATTTTTTTGACAGGCAGAGTGGACAGAGAGAGAGACAGAGAGAAAGATCTTCCTTTTCCATTGGTTTACCCCACAATGGCTGCTGCAGCTGGCACGCTGTGGCCGGCGCATGGTGCTGATCCAAAGCCAGGAGCCAGGTGCTTCTCCTGGTCTCCCATGCGAGTACAGGGCCCAAGTACTTGGGCCATCCTCCACTGCACTCCCGGGCCACAGCAGAGAGCTGGACTGGAATAGGAGCAACCGGGACAGAATCCAGTGCCCCAACTGGGACTAGAACCCAGGGTGCTGGCGCCGCAGGCGGAGGATTAGCTTATTGAGCCGCGGCGCTGGCTGACAACTTGTTCTTAAGCACATTTGTCCTTCCAGGTGATACACAGAACTTATCACAACAAATACAAGAGGATGGAAAGAAACACCTCAAGGATATAAAAAAATATGAGCTGTGTTTCCAATCACTTTTTGGATAACGTAGGCTGAGTCATTTCCTCTTGCACATATTGATTTATACACTGACCTTTAAAGAATTGTCTAGTGTATGAATAAGGTCTTGCCTAGCATAACAGTGTGAGGCTGAAGCTGTGTATGGATATTGGGATGTTCAAGAGTAAAAGAAAACACTAGGGTGTGAATGCATGGACCACTCAGATCAAAGCACCACGTCAGGAATGGCTGACAGTGGAAGAAGAATGGATGGCAGGGAGTCGGCAGCAGGTGGCAGCAGAGTCTGTGCATGCTAGGAACATAATGGTGGTTTAACAGTTAGAATCTTGATCTTAGAAGGAAAGACAAACTGATTTAGCAAGCAGCATAATACTGACCCATTCTTAAATATGGAAATTATACTATGGGCAGAGGACAAGAGTGGAAGAGATCCAAAAGGGAGGCAGTATGATGACACAGAAAGAAAGCAATTTTATGTTTTTAAAATATTTGCAATGAAATGTATCAAGTGAATGTCCCAAGATTTCTATTTCCAGGCATATTTTCAACAAAATCCTACATAAAGATTCCTGAGGAGATGTGCATGAATATTCTCAGGAGACTCTGGAAGCAAAAACCTGGAAATGGCTAAGAAGAGGGGAGTGGATGTTTTGAGTCTTGGCTACTTTGCACTTCTGATGATTCAGCTTGCTAGCTTTCTTTTTTTAAGATTTATTTATTTAGTTGTTGGAAACGCAGAGTGACAGAGAGAAAGGGAGTGACAGAGAAAAAAGGAGAAAGAGTTTCCAATCACTAGTTCAATCCCCTAATGCTCACAACAGCTGGGACTAAGCCAGGTGGAAATCAGGAGCTAGGACTTCATAAAGTTTCTCCTGGGTAGCAGAGACCTGGATAGAGTTCCTGTCCCCTAGTTTGGGCCTGTTCCTGCCCCAGCTATTGCTGGCATTTGAGGAATGAACCAAAGGATGGAAGACCTCTTTCTCTGTTTCTCCCTCTCTCTGCCTTTCAAGTAAATAAATCTTAAAAACAAACAAACAAAAAACCTATTAAGGGGCTGGTATTGTATCAAAGAAGGTTAAGCTGTTGCTTACAATGATGGCACCCCATATGGCTGCTGGTTTGTGTCTTGGCTGCTCTACTTCTGATCCAGCTCCTGCTAATGGCCTGGAGAAAGCAGTAGAAGGTGGCCAAGAAGCTCCTGGGTCTGGACTTCAGCGTGGCACAGCTCCGGCCATTGCAGCCATCTGGGGAGTGAACCAGCAAATGGAAGATCTCTGTCTCTTCCCCTCTCTCTATAACTCTTCAATCAATCAATAAAAACTTAAAAATTTTTTTTTTTAAAAAGCAGGTACCAAGTCAAGTGATACAGAAGTAATAAGAATAATTAAGACTAAATACTCAACAAGTTCTGGAGTTTATATAGGCTTTTGAGTAACTCCACTTGAACCAAATAAATCAAGTCACTCCTTAAAACAGTATTCCATACAATGCAGTTATAAAACAAAGAATACTAAGAGTGTAATAAAAAATTAAAATGGGGCCAGCTGAAGTAACACCTTGACAGTAGGGACTCCATTTTAGAGCACCTGAGACTCCATCCTGGGAAGGCAACCGCCTATCCCCCACAGTGAGACTCTGGTCTGAAACTATGATCTAAAACTCTCAGACAATGGAAGTTCATTGCATCACACTTGCCAACCTGAATCACACTTGGCAAAACATAGAGACCCCCTAGCATAATTGCTCAAGCTTGGAAGTGGATAGGCTGCACTTGGGTTAATGATAAAAATGGAATTTGTCTATGATTTAACCCAATACCTGGGTTAATGTCAGGATTATAATTGAAATTGTTAAGATTATAACTGGTATTGTTAAGATTATAATTGATACTAGTTTCCCATAGGTTTTGGGTTAGCTTGACCCTGGTAACCATGTATTCCCCTCCCGATTTTGTGGTTTTTGCCTTTAAAAACCCTGTTGCTTTGGGCTTCAGGGTCAAGAGTTTTTTTGGGCATGAGTCTGTTCTCCATTGCCGGCAATAAAAGACTGTCAAATTTTATCAATGTGTGGTGCTCCTGTTCGCACTCACTCAGGTACAACACAGCATTCTGGCATAGTGGTAAAGCCATTCTCGGTGATGCCAGTATCCCATATGGGTGCCAGTTCGAGTTCTGGCTGCTCCACTTTGAATCCAGGTCCCGTTAAAGTGCCTGGGAAAAGCACTGAAAGTTGGCCCAAGTACTTGGGCCCCTGCAGCCATGTGGGAGACCCAGATGAAGCTCCTGGCTCCAGCCTGGCCCAGCCTCAGTCATTGTAGACATTTGGGGAATGAACTGTGTGTGTGTGCATGTGTGTGTGTGTGTCCCCTTCTCTGTAACTCTGCTGTTCACATAAATAAATTAAAAAAAAAAAAAAAAAGAAGACAAAACTGGGGTGACTATTTCTCTTAGTGATTAAGCCACCACTTAAGACACCCACATCTCATATCAGCTCCAAGTGGTTGGGTTCCTGTGATTGGATTGAGACCCTGGATTGAGTTCCCTCCAGCTGTCAGCGTAGGCCTTATCAAATTATTTATTTGGTATTTGGGGAATGAATTACCAGATAGAAGCTCTTAATGTTTGTCTCTTAAAAAAAAAAAAAAAAAAAAGAAACTGATCATTAAATTCATTTGTAACAAATGGAAATGGACAAAGTGGAAATAACAGTGGCTTAAACTAATGACAGTATAAGCTCCCTCTCAGATGGGTCAAATCATATTTGGAGTTTTGAGCCTGCAACAAATTGAGCAAAGGATTTTTACTATCAAATAAAGATTTGCTGGGGCCGGGGTGCTGTGGCATAGTGGGTAAAGCCACCACCTGAGGTGCTGGCATCCCATATGAGCGCTGGTTTGAGTCCTGGATGTTCCACTAGCATCCGATCTAGCTCTTTGCTATGGCCTGGGAAAGCAGTAGAAGATGGACTAAGTCCTTGGGTTCCTGCACCCCCATGGGAGACCCGGACCCAGAAGAAGCTTCTGGCTTTGGATTGGTTCAGCTCTGGCCATCGTGGCCAATTGGGAAGTGAACCAGTGGATGGAAGACCTCTCTCTCTCTCTCTCTCTCTCTCTCTGCCTCTCCTCCTCTCTCTGTGTAACTCTGACTTTCAAATAAATAAATAAATAAATTTTTAAAAAAATAAAATAAAGATTTGTTGATGAGAAGGAACAAGTGTGACACCAGGATAAAAAAAATGTGGCACAAGCAAAAGATTAATCAAAAGCCTCATAATCTGAGGCTGCAAATTTGAACAATATTCTGTATGGGATAAATTCTCACACCAGGAATTATTGGCTCAACAGACAATTATTAGCATATGCAATCAACTTTGTCAACATATCCTTAAGGGATTCACTTTTGTGACACCTGTCAAAAACTAGAATGAGAAGTAGAAATAACTGTCATTCAGGCTATCCTGACATTTTCTAATTCACTGTCCTGGCAGATGCTGACAACTTCAAGGAGCACCTCTGTATGTCACTGGATGACAGTCATACATATTAGTCAAACTGTTCTCTTCCACAAATTTTCTAACACCACATAAACCCACTCTAAGGAAGAGTCCACAGAAGCTGGGCATAACCTAATGGTGGGTTATCATAGCATAGCAGAGGACAAATCAGACCCCAGGGATATGTGCAGAAAAAGCAAGGTTCAGAGGGAAAAACCACACCAATAGTAACAGAATAGGAAATCAAAAACAGCCAAGATTTTGCTGCATTCCCACACTTAGTAGAACAGTGGAAAAGAGAGAAAAATACAATACAAGGGGGTCTGATTTTGAAGGATATCAATACAGGGCTCTGTGCTCTGCCCAGACCCTACAGGTGGGAGCCTGAAGGAATAAGATATGCCCCTGATGTAGCACAAGGAATCACAGAGGGAACCTTTCTATTGACTAAAAAAATCCACTGTCTGCAACTGACTTTTCTTTTAATATTTAGTAATTTTATTTATTTGAAAGGCAAGGAGACAGAGACTTCCCTTCTGCGGATTCTCTCTCCAAATGCCCACAAACCTGGGGCATTTGAGCCACAATGAAGTTGAAAGCCAGGAATTCAATGTTGGTGGCAGGGACCCAACTACTTGAGCCATCATCTGCTGCCCTCCAGCAGGAAGCTTGAATCTGGATCAGAGCTAGGACTTGAACTCAAGCACTCTAAGATGCAGGCATCCCAAGCAACGTTACAACCACCACACCAAATGCCCACTGTGTGTTGTCTGTTTTTATAGTCTTCATAAATAACCATCTTAGAAAATCCAGCCCACTCCCATGTTACACACTGGCATGAAATGTGGCAAAAGCAGAAGAAATGGCTGAGGGACCTGCAAACAATTTTTGGGGCCCCAGGTGCAGGGGAGAAGCAGGCAGTATTTCCCATGTCCTTACTAGGTCTTCCAAGGGAAGGAGATGGGATGGAACACTGAAGAATGCAGGCATCAGGCCCGTGGAGGCCTCAGTGCTGACCTGCACATACTGAGAACCGAGGATCAGATGGAATTGTACGGAAGATGAGACCGGGGAGAAGGAGAAGCTTGTCAAGCAGATGTGCCTATACCTCTGAGAGAGCTCTCAGATGCCAGGTCACAGAGTGCCCACTACAAGGACTCAGCATTTGTTTCCACTGCACCATGGAGGGTCAAAGCATAAACTTTTCCATGTGTAAAGAACAAAGGTGGTAAGTTGAAGAAGTTTAAAATTTCCTATGTGAGCTCACAAGAGATACATTTTTGCCGTTTCACAGAACTCACACTTGCAGAAAGCTTCCCAAATACTACTGAATGGTGCTACTGACACCCCTGCTCTTTCAAAATCTTACCTGGCCACACCTCTGACACATTCCCACCCATCTGGTTTTTTGGCTATTTTTACTTGGCTTTCCATGGTACAGGGCTCTCTCCCTTGCTCCAAACATAGAGATAACATTCAGCTCAGGAAGAGACTTTCTTGCTTAAAAAATGAAAGGAATATGAAGTGCTGTGTATTTTCCAGTATCCCAGTCCTTTTGGTGAGCACAGAGGAAACTACAGACAGATCCAAGAAAATATTTCATAAACTCATCCATCAATCTCCTGCTCTGAAAGCTTAGGGAACACAGCAAGACACAGGTCAATAGCTATCTTCTAAAAACTAAAGAATCAAAAGTACAGGAGTAGAAAACACAACATTGGGTATTTTTAAAGTTGGCCATAAGGTTTTATATACACTGCAGCTCTGGAATCACCCAATGATGTTTAATAATGGGGACAGAACTTCCTAAGAAAGGGAACAATTATAGCCCTGATACCATATCAAGAAGTTTTTCAGCACATTTGAGCCAATGCAGGGCCTCCCAAGAGGAAAAGGAAAGGAAAATGCACAGACACACAAGGGTGGCTCCTGACTTTTGGAAAAGTCGTCCTTACCCAGGGAGAGCAGGTTCCTGTAGTTCTCCAGCATCACATCCCTGTATAAAGCCTTCTGAGCAGGGTCCAGGCATTTCCACTCCTCCTGAGAAAAATCTATCGTCACATCCCTCAATGTCAGAGGGCCCTGAAATGAAAACCATGTATCATCAAGGGGGTTTAGGGAGAGCTAGCCTCTTCACAGCAAGTAATAAAAGACAGCTATCAATATTTAATCAAGTGAAGGAAGTGTTCTGAGAGATACTTGTTAAAGTATTTCTAAGCAAGTTACCCCTCCCTAATAACATTTTATTACACTTTTTCAAAAGAACCTATGATATTCTCTAAATCACAGGAAATTCCTCATTTTTGTGGACAACACAAGAAATATACACATAAAACTTCCATATAGGGTCACCTCTATGGTAGTGTTAGATATTATGCTTGACCCACCAAGCGATTTTGTTTTGAGATGAGCCACAATATGATTGGTATCTTCAGAGATAACAAAGTCCAATGGCCAGAGTCAAATCTGTGATGAAGACAGCAACAGTAACGACCAAAGCTTCTGAACACATAAACTTGCCTCAGGTCAAAGAACTAAAATAACAGAGCAAACACCTGAACCTACTGTCTGAGAATTAGAAATGGAACTGAACAGTTAATTAACAGGCACAGCATCAAAAGGAAATTGACAGAGGAATATCTAATGGACATGATGTGAATCAAATTCCAGGATAAGAACACAGAACATTATCACAGGGGTGGTGTCTGGTCGAGCAGTGAAGTGAGTTGAGATGACCACATCCAGTATCAGAGGACTTGAGTTCCTGGGAGCTCCCAAGTCTAGTTTCCTGTTAATAGAGACACTGCGGGGCAGCAGACAATGACTCAAGTTTTTGGGTCCCTGCAACCCTTGTGGGAGACTCACACTGAATTTCCAGGCCTGGCCCTGGCCTGCCCAGCTCCAGCTGTTGAGGATATTTGGGGAATGAGCCAATGATAGGAGCTGTTTGTCTCCCTCTGTCTTTCAAATAAATTCACTTTATGCACATACATTTGCATGGACATAATTCATTACTATTCTTTTTTTTAAATTTTTTTTTTGACAGGCAGAGTTAAGATAGTGAGAGAGAGAGACAGAGAGAAAGGTCTTCCTTCCGTTGGTTCACCCCCCAAATGGCTGCTACAGCTGGTGCACTGCGCCAATCCGAAGCCAGGAGCCAGGTGCTTCTTCCTGGTCTCCCATGCGGGTGCAGGGCCCAAGCACTTGGGCCATCCTCCACTGCCTTCCCGGGCCACAGCAGAGAGCTGGACTGGAAGAGAAGCAACCGGGACAGAACCAGTGCTCCAACCGGGACTAGAATCCGGGGTGCTGGCACCACAGGCAGAGGATTAGCCTAGTGAGCTGCGGTGCTGGCCCATTACTATTCTTAATACAATTAACTTGTTAAGATTGTGTGGAATGAATTTAATGCCATGAAAAATAAAATTTTGGCCAGCTCAATAGGCTAATCCTCCACCTAGCGGCGCCGGCACACTGGGTTCTAGTCCTGGTCGGGGCGCCGGATTCTGTCCCAGTTGCCCTTCTTCCAGGCCAGCTCTCTGCTGTGGCCCGGAAAGGCAGTGGAGGATGGCCCAAGTGCTAGGCCCTGCACCCCATGGGAGACCAGGAGAAGCACCTGGTTCCTGCTTTTGGATCAGCGCGGTGTGCGGGCCGCAGCGCGCCAGCCGTGGCGGACACTGGAGGGCGAACTAACAGCAAAAAGGAAGACCTTTCTCTCTCTCTCTCTCTCTCACTATCCATTCTGCCTGTCAAAAAAAAAAAAAAAAAAAAATTTCAACTGTTACAAAATATAATCCCGATGTGTCTTTGATAAAAACTATATGCCTATATATCCATGTGATCATGTGTACTAATCACAAATACATTTAAATGAACTGAAATAAGCTAAGTTGTTTCTCAATAAATTTTTCAATTTCTTTCATGAGTATAGCTGCTGTTTTTTCATCAGTTTCATTGTCAGCACATTTTGGGACAAGGGGCCTGCGTTGTGGCACAGCAGGTTAAACTGTGGCCTGTGATGCCAGCATCCCAAATGAGCGCCAGCTGGAGTCATGTCTGCTCCACTCAGATACAGCTCCCTGCAAACGTGCCTGGGAAAGCAGCAGACTATCGCTCAAATGCTTGGATCCCTGCTACTCACGTGGGAAACCCAGATGGAGTTCCACGCTCCTAACTTTAGTCTGGCCCAGCTCTGGCCATTGCAGCCACTTGGGGAGTGAACCAGCAATGGAAAACCTCTCTTGGGACTGGCACTGTGGCACAGTGGGTAAAGCCACCTGCAGCACTGGCATCTCACGTGTGTGCCTGTTCCAGTCTCAGCTGCTCCACTTCCAATCTTGCTCCCTGTTAATGAGCCTGGGAAAGCAGCAGAAGATGGTCCAAGTAGTGAGGCTTCTGCACCCATGTAGGAGACCTGGAAGAAGCTCCTGTCTCCTGACTGGCCTAGCTCTCGCCATTGCGGTCATTTGGGGAGTGAACTAATGGATGGAAGCTCTCTCTCCGCCTTTCAACTAAATAAATAAATCTTAAAAAAAAAAAAAATACAAGGGCAGGTATTTGATATTTAATGGGCAATCCCTCACTGCCTTTCAAATAAATTAAATTAATAAATGGAACTTTTAAAAAAATTTATTTATTTGAGAGGCAGAGTTACAGAGAGAGGGAGAGACAAAGAGAGAGGTTTTCCACCCATTGGTTCACTCTCCAAATGGATGCAATGGCTGAAGCTAAGCCAAGATGAAGCCAGGAGCCAGGAGCTTCTTCCAGGTCTCCCAGTTGGGTGCAGAGGCCCAAGCATGTGGGCCATCTTCTACTGCTTTCCCAGGCCATTAGCAGAGAGCTGGATGGGAAGTGGAGCAGGTGGCATCCAAATGGATGACAGCACCACAGGTGGAGGCTTAACCTTCTATGCCACAGCTCCAGCCCCTGAATAGAACTTTGAAAAAATAATTACTTTTATCCATAATTCATAAATCCTAATTCATAAATGTAAGCCTTAATAAGAACCAAATAGAGTTTACTACTTATTTGATTCATAATAAAATGGTGACACAAAATTTTAAAAATCATTAGTATTATATATCAATTTAATAGAGAAAAATTACAAAACATGCCCCACAAAAGGAGATAATTGAAGAAGTTATTGGATAATTAAAAATCAGGCCAACAATTACATTTGGGGGAAAAAGCAAACAGATACTAAAGAACACTTCTTTGCACCAGTCTAGAGGAACTGACAGGTTATACAGATGCGGCCTCTTCACAATCCCTGCTGCCCAACGCGCTGACACCGGGAGGCCCTCACCCCGTCTCCAGTCCAGGCCTGGGTGTGAGCCCCTCCCAATGAAGCCTCTGCACAAGTTGCACTGGGCCACTGTGAGAGGAAATCCGGGAGGAGAGGAGAGGGACTGAGGGAAGGCCTGGGGGAGTGTGAGCTCCCGTGTCAGGCAGGGTCAGGGTCAGGGTCAGGAACTCTAAGGCAGCTCGGAAAGGGCCCACACACAGAACAACCGATTGAGAGCGGCTTTACCTGGGGGAGGCTCATCCCTGACGCCTTTCGCTCTGCCCGCCTGGTTTCTAAGTCTTTAGAAGTCGACCCTGAAGGTTGAAAACATGCAGTTTAGTGCATACAATCAACCCAACCCCCTGCTTCACTGTGCCAGGGACCTCATGCCGCGGACAGCCGGCTCTCCACGGCCCTCCACAGCAGGGGCACCGCAGGGCAGAGAGCTCCTACACCGCGACCAGCCACTGAGCCTTCAGAACCGGCTCCCCCAGGGGACGCCCACCCCCATGCTGAGCACTGCCGGGCTGGGCTGGACCAAGCTCCTCCTCTGGGCGCAGACCCAGGCCTGAGCCCACCACGCTCCGGTCGTGGGCTGATCTCAGCCCTCAGACACGGAGCACTCAGGATCATGGGTGCTGGGTGCAGATCAGGATGAACTTCACAAATGACGTGATTATTACTGAGGCAGGGCCCCGACCTATGTGAACGGGACTCTCTGGTTACAAGGGAACAAAAAAGGTGTCTGCAAAGTGCTCCCGCATCACAACGGCGAGTCAGGGCTGCGTCACCCGCCTCCCGCCCCTCTATTTTTTTTTTTTTTTTTGTTCAACTTCCCCTCTAAGATTGCTTTCCTCTCAACGTCTCTCTCCGCCCTCGGCCGCCTCCTGGCCTGTTCTTTCTCTTCGGTTTGGCAACCCCCGCGGCCGTGCCCAGCTTCGCCCCTTCTCCACGCCGCGGGGGTTGTCTTCTCAGTCGCTCTCCGACCCGCTTCGCCCGCACGTCCACGACGACGGGGGCGGGACAGCATGTCCGCTGCCCCAGGGGCGCGCACTTCCCCGGGGTGGGGGGTGGGAGTCGGGGTCGCGGCCCCGCGGCCGCCAGGCGAGGAGCCGGCCTGAGGAGCGCGGGACGCGAGGGCCAGGCGCAGGCAGCGAGCGCGGCCTTCCGCGGACGCGGGCGGCCTCTCAGGCCGGCGTCCGGATTTACTTCACGCGGATGGGCGGTGCCGGGGTCTGGAGGTCTGAGTGGTGGCCCCCTCCCCCCGATCCCAGAAACAGAACCGCCGGGGGGCCGCGAAGCCGAGCCTGAATCGACAGACAGGGAAACTCACGCACCGCGACGCAACCGTCACTCCGCGACATCTGCTTCCGGGTCTGGAGCGAGCCGCGCATGCCCAGAGAAGAGCCCAGGCTCCCGGAGGCGGGGTCTGGGCGCGGCGGGAGGGCGGGGGCGGGACTTGGGAGAGGCGGGACGGGCGTGGCTTATGGGGCGGGGCTTTGGGAGGCGGGGCCTGCGCTTCCCTTCTCCTAGTTCTCTGTGAACTTGAGGTTTTTTGCACTGGAAAACTGGGTCATTTTCGGGTTCTCTGACCTGCGTTGCTTCTTACCCGGTTTAAGTTAAATCTTCAGTTTTGAGGTAAAAACTTAGCAATGTCTGTCCCTCTTATACTGGAAACAAAGATGTTTTCCTCTTAACAAGGTTGAAAATTGTGTAAGTGAAAGAAATTTTATTGTTAATTTATTTTATTTTAAAATCTAATAATTTGTAAAACATTTTATCACATCCATTTCAAATGTTGACATTAAATATAAATACTATTTTTGCTTTTTTATGATTTATTTGAAAGGCAGAAATGCAGAGAGAGAGAAGGAGAGAGATCTTCCATCTGTTGGTTCACTCCTCAAATAGCCACAATGGTCAGGGCTGTGCTAGGCTGAAACCAGGAGCCAGGAGCTTCTGAGTTTCATATGCGGGTGCAGAGGCCCAAGCACGTGGGCCATCTTTCACTGCTTCCCCAGACCATAGCAGAGAGCTGGATCAGAAGTGGTGTAGCTGGGACTCGAACCAGCGACTATATGGGATGCAGGCTCTGCAAACATGGTGAACGCTCCCAAAACCAGCCAGACTATCTGCAAGAAATGTGGCAAGCGCCAGCCCCACCAAGTGACACTGTACAAGAAGGCAAAGACTATGCCCAGGGAAAGCTGCGTTATGATGGGAAGCAGAGTGGCTATGGTGGACAGACCAAGCCAATTTTCCAGAAAAAGGCTACAACTACAAAGAAGATTGTGCTGAGGCTTGAGTGTGTGGAGCCTAATGCAGATCCAAGACTATGTTGGCTATTAAGAGATGTAAACACTTCACACTGGGAGGAGAGAAGGATTTGAGGAAGGGCCAAGTGATCCTGTTCCAACCTTCATCTTGTTGTCAGGAAAGAAGAGACAGAGTATGAAGCCACAGCCAGAGCAGGTTTATTCAGAAGAATGAAGCCTGGGAGGGGCTCACTCCCAGGTGGACGCGGCCAGCGAACACACAGCAGAGAGAGCCCCTTCCCTTATGGTGGTTTATGGAGTGCAAAGCGGTGGGAAGGGGCCTGGGGGCCGGAGCTGAAGCTGGGCTGCTGGGTTAGAGGGGGAAGACTGGGACAGTTCTAAAGGTGCTGCGAGATCACGGTGTGAGCTGGGAGGGGTTCGGGGTGAGACAGAGGCTGGACTCCGGGGCTGAGCTGCTGAGCTGAGGGGAGAGAGCGTGGGAGGAGAGGGAGAGCTCAGGCTGATGGCTGGGTTATTCAAATAATGGGGTGTCCAGCAGTCCAGGCAAGGCAGGGCTGCATTAGCAGCGCAGAGAAACAGGGGCCTGCTCGCTGTTGTGTGGGTGAGAGGTCAACAGGGATTGAAGGCTGTTTGTCTTTGCTCCAACAGTTATGAAGACAATAAAATCTTAAGGTTACTATTTCCTTCATTTTTTTTCTGTGTGTGAGAGTAAACTAGCGCCAGCAATCAAATTCCTCTTGGGAAATTTTCAGCTTCAAAAAATTAAATAGAGTAAAATTAGATTATGAGATTTCTAAATAGCCTCATTTTTACTGGCAATACTTTTATGGCGATATCTGTGAGCTAATTCTGATTAGATCTGGCCCACAGCTTTGGTTAAAGTGCTCAGGTTAAATGTACATTAAAAGCCTACTGGGGCCAGAACTGTGGTGTAGTGAGTAAAGCCACTGCCTGCAGTGCCTGCATCCCATATGGGCGCCTGTTCGAGTCCCGGCTGCTCCATTTCCAATCCAGCTCTCTGCTATGGCCTGGGAAAGCAGTAGAAGATGGCCCAAGTCCTTGGGCCCCTACCTCCATGTGGGAGACCCAGAAGAAGCTCCTGGCTTCTGGCTTCCACCCAGTTCCAGCTGTTGTGGCCAACTGGGGAGTGAACCAGCGGATGGAAGACCTCTCTCTCTCACACACACACATCTCTCTCTCTCTCTGCCTCTCCTTGTCTCTGTGTGTAACCCTGACTTTCAAATAAATAAATAAATAACTCTTTAAAAAGAAACGGCCTACTTTTATTTTGACCAAATGTTTTGAACCTGACAATACTTTAGATTTAGAATTATAAACTGAGTCTTCCACCTTTAGGGCTTCTAGTTGGATCTCTGGAACTTTCAGAGTGAGAGGCTCAACCTGCTGAGGTCATAGTTGTTGGAGTTAAATTATGAAAGGTGCATTGTAAGGTTACAAAATGTTGGCAAATTTCTGTTGTGCTTCTATAAAAGTGCATTCTTTTTATGCACTGGGGTTAGTCACTGTTAATAGGATAGAATCTCAGATGTGATCTCATGCCTCACATGTGCTCAGGATTCTTGTCTTTGCACAAGAATGAATTCAGAGGTGAGACAGAGAGTAGTGGTACGCATGCTGGCAAAGTTAAATAATGAAGAGGACACCTGATGGACTGAGAGCCCAGTCTGCATTCAGAGTGGAGTTTCTATTGATATTGGGGGTGGGGCTTCTCTCTGCTCCCCATACACCCTTTCTGGAATATTGCTGGGTGGAGGGCTTTCTGAATGTGGAATCCCTCTCAGAACTTCATTACAGTCTGCTTGGAAAGGGGCAGAGGAGTTTTCTCAAAACTGCCCCTATGGGCAGTGCTGTGGCATAATAGGTTGGGCCCCAACCTGTGGCACTGGTATCCCATATGGGTGCCAGTTTGAGTCCCTGCAACAACTCTACTTCCGATCTGGCTCCCTGCTGATGTGTTGGGGAAAGCAGTGGAAGATGACCCAAGTATTTGGGCCCCTGAACTCATGTGGGAGACTCAGAGGAAGCTCCTGGTTCCTGGCTTTGGATCAGCCCAGCGCCAGCTGTTGCCACTGTTTGGGTAGCGAACAAGCGGATGGAACACCTCTCTCTCACTGGGCTCTGCCTCTCAAATAAATAAATAAATCTTAAAAAAAAAGGTCAATCGAGTGTACCAATGTGGACAGGATGAATAATGAAATTAATTATTAGAATATAGCATTGGCAGCTGGCACTGTGGCACAATGGGTTAAGCCACCACCTGCAATGTTGGCATCCAATATCAGATTGCTGGTCGGCTTCTGATCCAGCTGATAAATCTAACAGCAGAAGATGACCCAAGTCTTTGGATCCTTGCCACCCATGTGGGAGTTCCTGATGGAGTTCTGGGTCCCTGACCTCCCCTGGCTCAGTTCCTTATGGGGAGTGTGCCACTGGATGGAAGATCTCTCTGTCCCTTGTCTCTCCCTCTCTCTCTGTCATTCTGTCTTACAAATAAATAAAAAAGAATCTTAAAGAAAAAAATACAGCATTTGTTCCAAGAAACAAAAAGTGACATTTTAACCAATACCCACAAATTACTCTTAGAAAATTGAAAACATATTAATGAAAATGCAATGCATCTGAAGTAAGCAAATTTAATATTTCTGGGGTTAAGTTGCCAATTTAATAATATATCTGAGATATAAAAAATGCTTATTTACATGTTATAGTAAATTAACAAAAGTGTAATCAAAGGTACTAAGTATGGAAAAATGAAAGTAAAAGGCGTAATTACGGCTATCTTTAAAAAGATTTGGAGCTGTGTAGGTGTTACATTAACTCCTTTTGTAGCATTCTCTGTTCACTAAAGGAAATCTGCAATATATAAATCAATTGATAGTTACCCCCTGATACAGTACTTCCACCTGTTACAGATATGAAAAAAAAAAAAAAACACAGAGTATCATAAAAATACAGAACTGGTGAAAAACTGCACCTCTGGGGTTGGCAGATCATGACTCCCCAGCGACGGTCTCCCCGCAAAAATAGCCATTTTCACAACTCTGGGCACAAAACTAGCAACTTCTTCCGCAGCACTAGGGAAGCCAGGTGAGAGAGCCCAGTGCGCGACTGTAGCGGAGTCAGAAAAGTGCAGGTGAGGGAGTGGAGTTGCCTGTGGCATCCCTCCCCACCCCGGGCAGCAGGGCCCGGGCCCTCGCCTGCGAACGGAGCCTCTGGATCTCAGGCGCACCAGCACTGGTGAGATCAGTTGTCTCAGCCTCACTACCCTCCTGTCTACAGCAGCCTCGTGCCACGAAGAAACCTCAAGGGCAGGCGGGCTCGGTTTCAGGGGTTTGGTCCCGGGGCCCGGCTGTGGGCTTCAATCTGACCGGACTCAGCCTCCACCTTTTTAGCTGATAGAAGGACTCCACCGTCTTTCCCCAGACTTCAGGAAGTACCGAGCTTCAGGGAAGAAGAGGGAACTAAACGAGGACCTGGCCTCGGGACTCAGTGCTGGGAAGAAGCCAGCAGCCCGGGACCCACGGCCAGCGCCCGAGACGGTGCCCAGGATGGAGAACTACGCTCAAGTCCAGCCACGCTGGCCCTCGCAGCTGCAGTCCTATGGCATGGCTGGGCTTAGGCTGCCATCTAGTGCTGAAACAGGGCCATGGACGGAGGAGCACAAATAAACGCAGCCTGTGAGACCGGAATAAACCACCCAGTCTCATTGTGCAGACGCCTCTTACGTTTCTGTCATTTTTGTCTTTGAAACTTGCTTTTGAGATAAAGATTCCTAGGGTTTGAAGTTTCTTCTGTGACAAGTCACCTTTAAGTTCTGGTGGACTCTCGCAGACTGGGTTTACTTGGTGATTGGAAATTCCTTATGACAACATTAGCATGCTACAATATCCTGCTGCTGTGTGCAAAATTGCCACTTGAACTCATGGAGTAAAGTGTCAGGATGACCAAGATGCCACAAGAGGTGACTGGTATTTCCAGTTATCTTCCTGGTTGCTGAGGGTTTCAAAGATGTGCTTCTCAGCGACATTGTGA